ATCAATGATCATAAGTAAAGAAGGACCAGTGGTCGAAATGTGTAAAGAAGTAATGAGTAGTTGTTTGTAATTTAGAGATTTATTAGTCGAGCAACATAATGTAAATGAAGTTTATTATTGAAAGAATAAAATTATGTTATTCAAAAGTTATCCAAGCCTATTAGGTATTTATAATTCATATCTAAACTCAGTGGCGGAATATAGTGGGACATGTGGGGATCATGGCTCCCTGAAAATTTTAATTTTAGACCCTTAAAACTTGAAATAAAAATTAATTTCCCCCCACAAAATTTTTAGAAATTCATATTAAGCTTTAAATTTTTTTTAATGTTATGAGTTAAATCCTCCCAAAATTTTTAAAAATTCTCATTAAGCCTCTTAAATTTTCAAAAATTTTAGTTAGAACCCAATTTTTTTGAAAAAATTTTGAAAAAAATTGTAAACTAAACTCTTCAAAATTTTAATTTAAACCTCTAATTTTTTAAAATTTTAATTTTTTTCCCAAACTCTATCACCAAGTTTCATCACTGTCCAAACTAATCAAAAATAGTCCAACAAATTATGTTTTAACCAACTAACAACCTAATAACAAACTAACCATTGATTAACTGCTATTTGCATCTTATTTATTGCGCACATTCTTTTTCACTGGACTAGCTTAAATTCTCTTAATTCAAATCTTCATCTTCCGGCAATATGGTCCAATTGTTCTAGGTTTAAACTCCTTCCTGTGGGATCTTGGAAAGAGACTTACGATTACTAAATCTTAAATAGGCTAAACTATATAATTGATCACTTTCGTTTAAGTTTTATACATTTTTCTTCACTAAATTCAAAAAACATAATATTTGACCACTTTCATTTTTATTTAATTAAGTTGTGTTCATGTTCGTTTGTATTTAATTAAGATGTGATCACTTATCTTATCGACTTTTAAATGTTTAGTCATTGAAATTGTTATTGTCATTAGTAAGGAAAAGTGAAGAAATTAAATAAAAGTGATACAATAAAAACGAAAATGATCAAATATCATGTTTTTGAATTTTGTAAGGAAAAATGTACAAAACTAAAATGAAAATGATCAATCATATAATTTACCCTTTTTAAATAATTAGAAATCTTGAAAGCTGTGGCCTTCCCATAGTTATCGGTTTCATAGTATCATGTTGATTTTAGTGCTTGCTGGAAATTGAAATCAAGTAGAGGGAATTAAATTATTAAATTTGAAAATTAAAAAAAAGGAAAACTCAATTTAATTGATATTTAAATTAAAAAACTTAAAATATTATTAAATTAAATTTTTCTAAAGTGGCCATATTGTTTTTTTTGCCCTCCCGGTTCTAAAGCTTCGCATTAACTAATTCAGACCGACTCGCGTCGTACACTTAATTTTGATGGATGAATCTTCCAACAAGAATTTTTTATATACACAGACTCAAACTTATGATCTTACTTAAATAATATAAAACTACTTACAACTTAAATTAATACTTATTAATTAAAAGTGACCATATTTGACTTCACCAATAAACATTAAACACCCCAAACAAAAGCTTTTTTTTAAAAAAAAAAAAGTTATAAAGTTGGAGTAAAAAGCTTATTTAAATGTAAAATCGGAGCAAAAGCATCATAAATACTGAATAGTATATCACCACGTGCTTATGATTTTATTGTCCTTTCTTGTTTGGCTTTATTATCATCTTAACCCCTAAATTGTACACTTTTTCTAATTTTAGTATCTAACCTTTCTTTGGTCCCATTTTAGTACCTGAAGTATTGACTAATTTTTTTTGACATAAAGTATGTGACTAATTGATTTATCGTGAAAACTTAAAAATAATTTAGAAATATAATAACTAATGATTTTTTATTAAAATAACTAATGATTTTAAAATACTTAAATTGAAAATTATAACCCATATTTGCATAAGCATTGATCGACTTTGAAAACATTCATTAACATCTTAATCTTCTCAAGATCTATCATTATCTCCCCACCTTCACAAACCAAACTCTTCAAGGTCTTAAAGGTATGAGACCTAAACAAATTCGACCTGAATCTCATAATAGTTTGTAGAAACAAAATATAAATTACTTTTATAAATTTATTTCGGAAATACGCTTTGCATGAAATTGAAGTTACATTTGAGGTCACATACAAGAAATATATGACATGATTGAATTTAACGCGACACTCTTTACATAGGTGGATTTATTTTTAACATAAGTTAAGTTTTAGACTACAATATATAACATAAGTATACTTTAGATACCAAAATGTAACAGAAACATTTCAGTACCAAAATATTAAAAATGGTATATACTTTAAGGACTAAACCCTGAGTTAAGCCATATGTTTTCGCTTTCTCTACTCTGGAAATGATTGATTGTATATAATAAACATTATCCCACTTCCTGCGAGTATGCCTTTTACCCCAAATTCATACTTTTTACATTTAAAATTTAATATTTTTTTTTGGTGTAACTCTCCGTTTTAAACTTAATTAATTTGGATCGATCCATATCGCACACCTAAATTTTGGTAGGTGAGTCTCCCAATAATATCTTTTTTACATACACATGAACTCGAATTGGAGACCGTACTTAATCAACATCAAGGTGCTTACCACTTAAAACAATTTGTGTTAGTAATATTATCTTTTATTTTTTATTCTATTCACATGTACAACAACTCTGTTATTATATAAATTTTATAAATTTGAATAGATTTTTATTTATATTATTATTGAATAATAAAAATATTATAAATCATGTAAAAATTATTATTATCATTAAGAATATTTTTTCAAATATTTTAATTATATTTCAAATAATCTGAAAGTGAATTTAAATTAAAAAAATTCAGAACGTGACAATAGATTTACTTCTCCCTTGAGATTTTGACAAAGCTTTCGATTCCATATTTACAATAGTATTTTTTTATTCTCCTTCGAATTTTTAAGATTTTGTCTATTAATTTAGATTGATTCGGATATCACATCTTATTTTTATATGTGAGTCTCTCAGTGAGAATTTTCTACATACGTAATAATTCGAACTTAAAACCTAATGATATTAAAGTTTTTACCATTTGAACTAATCCCATTGTTATCTTTACAATAATATTTAATGTTATTGTTTTTTATTAAAGCAAAGCAAATACATCTCTATTTCGTTTTCCCCTGTTACTTGTTAGTGGCAGTTGACCTGCTCATCAAACTTATTTACACATACATAACATGCAATAAATGTGATTTCTATTTATACACTGTAAAATGCACTTGTTATGTGAATATTCTTAACTTTGTCATTTGTTATTTTATCAATCAATAATTAATTTAATAAGATAAAATATTATATTTTAAAAAATAAAATTTAAGGTTTAAATCTTGAATTTATGAATAAAATAAATTGAACCGATAATGACATTTTCATGGAAAAGGTTAAAACTCAACCAAAAAACTCGAACAAAAAATAGATAAGAACAAATTTGATTGCATCAACAAACAAACCAAAAAATGAGATTAGACTATCGAAAGACCATCGAGAACAATAAATCAGAGCTAAGCGTCATGAGAAACTATCCACAACGCAAAATCGCGTATCCAAATTCAATCTGAGGGTCCATAGCAAAGAAGATCAACAAGATTACAAATAAGCGTCGTATTGATTAATCGTAGCATCGTCAAATCCAAACTGAGAAAACATAAAAAAGGGGCCAAATGATCGAGAAAAATACAAAAAACATGCCACAAAGACAGAGAAAAATGTGTCATAAATACATAATTATTGTTATTAAAAAAACTAAAAAAGAAATAAAGAGAAAAGAAAACTGATAGTGAACAATCAACATCAAAATTAATGTCATAATTAATTAAACAAAATCAAAAAAGAAAAAATTAACCCGATTTATAGATAAAGAGTTGAATTCAACTATTTAAAAACAAATCACAATTTTTACCATCAAAATAACCTATTCAACACAATTTTTTTTCTTGTAACAGTTTCACACCCATACAATGGATAAACAGCTTTGTTTGTCGTTTTTTTTCAACTTTTAGTTTGTCTTTGGAGTAAATCCATCAACTAAGTTGTTATGCCATGCTATTTTATAGGAACTTCTCTATTAACAAGAGTCCAATTTAATAGTTAAATTTAGTGAAATAATTTAAGGTAAAGTACAAAAATGATCTCCAATTATATGGTGATATTTTATCGAGTTCATTGACTATTAAAAGTTACAAAATGATCAATTAATTATAGGGTATTATTTAGTTGAGTCCCCCGACTATTAAAAGTTACAAAATGGTCACCCGATATATTCTAAACTCGTCATTTTTATTAAAAAATTGACAACAGTTTGAATTGGACGTTAATCTGCTTACTGTGATATGATAAAATTTGATCTTAAAATCTCAAAGGACTATCATATCTCAGTAACATCTAGCTCAGACTGTCATTAATTTTTTAACGAAAAGGGACTAGTTTAGAACATATAAATAGCCAAGTGATTATTCAGTAACCTTTAATAGTCGATGGACTCAATAAAATAATATCCTATAATTATAGGACTATTTTATAACTTTTAATAATTGGGAGACTTAACAAAATAACATTTTATAATTGAGAGATTATTTATGTAATTGTTTTTAGTAAATAAAATAACTTCATCGTTATGAACCATACATTATAAAAATGAAAATAAAAACAGCAACATCGTAATGAAACAAATAACATCGCTTTTATCTCTTATTTAATTATAAGTTATATATATAAAAAAAAGATTAATAAAGAAATGTGTGCAATCTCCACTTTCCTCTGAAACCAAACTCCTCTACCCACGCGTCTTCTACTTTCCTGTCTCCCCTGCTTTAAAACATCTTCATCTTCATGTAATTGCTCCTTTTTAATTTGATTCTCATTTCCTTCGTCCCCAAGAAACTAACTCGACAAAAAAAAAACCCATTGTTTGTTTTGGGTGTTTTCTTTCTTCTTCTACCATGCATTTCCCATGGAAGAAAAGAAAAGTAACTCGTATCTCACGGCTGGTTGCCGGCCTCCTCCTTTCCCCCAAACGCGGCGGATCCCTTGTGGTGGAGACTGGGTTTCCGACCTCCCTCGTTGATCTTTTCGTCAAGAACCGTGATCGCTTCCGGAAATCCTCTAAAACGAAATCCAGTTCGATTTCCACCCATCCACTCCCTCTGTCTCCCCCGTCTCCCTGCAATGAAACCCTACAATCTCCTGACATGGATGTTGGTGAAACAGTATCTATTACCAGAGAAGAAAACGATGATGAGAGGATTCCCTTCCATGTGGTGCTTAAAGTTTCTTTAATGGTGGCTCTCGCTGTTAGTACCAGAAGCCTTGCGATTTGGATCATGCTGGCTGCACTCTTACTTGTGATAATTGAGTTTTCTAAGACCCTTTTCTTCTATCCTACGATTCGAATGGGTTTGAAATCAAGAACAGATGAATTGGTTGCTAAACAACGAGGAACTGAGTTGCCTGATCCTTGTGAGTTGGTAGTTGAGTTGAAAAAGGAAACGGAAGCCATAACATGTAAGAGTGAGCGTAGTCGGAGTTCAAGAATCAAAACCAGTTTAATCAAGAAATTTATTCCTAAGAAGTTTTGCCATGGAAAGAGGAAGAAGCAAGGGAAGAGTAACAACAAGGGTAAAGAACCAAGTAGTCAATTGGAAAAGGAAAAGCAAGAGCAAGAACATGGTGTTCATGATGAAGAAGATGAATCAGGAACAGAGAATGTTAGAAAGGGGAATTCAGGGTATGCGATGATTCTGCTTGTGATTATTCTTGCTGGACTCATAGGAGGGAGGGGCGTTACACTTTTCCTAACTCTTGTAAGCTGCTTCATACTGATATATATTGGAACTTGCATACAAAAAAACGACAGTGATATAAATAGCGATCACAAAACATGATCGTAATCGGAATGTCATTTTTGTCTTGTTTGTAGCTTTTGAGGTGGTTGAGTGTGGAGATTTAGCTTCTGGTTGAATCTGCCTGCTGGCGAAGTTATGATATAGGCAAGGGAAGCTGAGTTTGTTGTAATTTCAACTGTAAATTTATATATACAAATCAGGGTTAGTTCAAGTGTTACATTGCAATTTGCTTTGAATTTGGGCAGCATTCATGCTACGTTTGATTGGGAAAGGAAAGTTAAACCAAAGTATGAGAGAAGACTCCTTACAAGATTCATGAGACTCATCTGACGCAGTTCACATTCTAGTCTCGGAGGAGGACAAACTAAGGATTAGATATTTTGAATTGTAAAGTATTTGGGGGGGGGGGGATGTGGATTACAAGCATTAATCGTAGAAGCCTAACGATAAACTTGAATTGATATACTTCGGGCACAGATCCAAAAATATTTTTTAAGATGGACACATATATATTAATAATAAAAAAATTCATATGGAGTGAACATAAATAATATTTAAGGATGATCACTATTAGTAAAATGAATAACTAACATAAAGAAATTCGAATTTCAGGCAAAACATACATACGACACTGGCACGATGTATCTTTGTGGGAACCCTAGTTTTTCTTTCCATTAGAATATGGACACTAAAATTCTGAGCATCTCAAGCTACGCTAAAAAAATTAACGATGATGTTGTCGTATTATTATAAAATAATGCAATATTATCATTGAAAAATATATCACATTAGCAATTCAATTTATTTTTAAATGATGGGTGACCAAAACGTTAGGTTTGTTTTTGAAGAAAAATAGTAATTGAGTGACTAAAATAGAACCACTTGAAATGGTTTAAAGAAGGCGATCAAAATACAAGATTTTTTCATCTTTGTGCTTCGAACAGAAGAATAATTAATTTGCTAAAATCGTTGTGCTACAATGGTTATTCTACCTCGGAGTCGAGTCAAATCATGTCGTGTGTGCAGGAGTTTTTCTTCTCATCTTATAATACTCGGACTACTCTTGAATTAGAGGACATTAAACTTAATTTTCAGAAAATCTACCAAGATCAATTGTCCCTTCTTGAAAGTCGGCTCTCGAAAAAGGAGGTTTGAGAGGCCATCTTATCCACTGATAGTAACAAAGCTTCGGGGCTGGATGGTTTTAATGTAATACCCCAAATTTTGTATATTGAGCAAAATATAAATTTTGAAAGTTTAGTGGCCAAAGTATAAACTTTAGAAAAGTTTAAGGGCCAAAGTGTAATTTTAAAAAGTTATGTAATCCGGCCCCGTAAATGAATAGTTTATCCCCAAGAGTGACACATCCGTGGGAATTATATTTTCTATTAAAATCTATAAAACGATAAAGTTCGAGAAAAATCCTGTTAATTGGATCGAATCGAATTTTCAGGAAATTTTAAAGGATGATGAAGCAAGGTTAAAAATGTCATTTCCATGATTTGTAGGATTTAATATAAACCGTTAGATTTAAGATAGTTTTCTATAATCAATTTGGACCGTTGGATGAAAAATGTTTAGATTGTAATTTTGGAAAATTCGAAGGGAAAAGTTGGTAACTACTAACTCATTGGTTTATTTTTGACAATTGGATGAAAAAATTGACATGTGGAAAGTTATGGAGCCTTGGATTTCAAGGGTAAAATGGTCATTTTACAATAAATAGATTTTTAATTAATTTTTAACGTTAAAAGATGATAAATATGCTTACATTTTTATTTGGAAATTTCAAGAATTTTTGCTCATCTCCTTCAAGTTTGGCTGTGTACTTCAAGGTAAGGGAAAAAATAATTTCTTTTTTTTTTTCAAGTCAATTTATTAGGAATTTGGATGAAAAGATGAAATGGAAAATTGTTCTACATGAAATTCTCTATCATTTGGTACCATTATTTCATCCATGCTTAGAACATTTAATTCTTAACATTGATGGATGAAGGGGATGTTAGGAATTGATGAACTAAGGCTTGATTATGGTGTAGATGATGTAGGAGAATCATTTTCATGCTTGAATAATGATTGAAACTACTTGAATATGCTTGTAGAAATTCTTGGCCAAGTAGGAAAATTATGGAAGTTAAATGTTTGAATTGAAATTGATATGGAATGTGTAGATGCTTAATTTGTCTGGGGCCTTTACCATTTTCAAATGAAAGCAGTTCTGGGGAGTTAAAAACCAGAAATAAACGTGAGAAGGCAGTTAACAAAAAGAGAGAGCCATTATGGTATTAAGGAGCACGATACTAGGGCAAGTAAAAAATGGTAAAGAGTCAGTTTTTTGGGAAAAAGAACTAGGGCAAGTAAAAAATGGTAAAGAGTCAGTTTTTTGGGAAAAAGATTAGATTATCAACCATCAGTAATTACAGAAAAAGATTGGCAATTAAGGGAGAGCCAAAAAAAAACTAACAGCCATCGACAGAGGAAGAAAAACAATCAACCACAGCGAAACCAAAAAACAGTCCAAAAAAAAAATAGAGATCACCATTCTAAAAAACCAAGAAAAAAGACTTACCTCTTGAATCCAGAAGCCTTGGTCGTCTTTTCTAGGAACCCACGACCCGTGAGAAGGTAAATCCTTCATTTTTTTTTGTTATTTTCCAGTCATGCATGTTGGTTTTAAACCTTATTTGATGGGGTTTAGGTAGGTCTCGGTCGGGATTGTCCTCGGATCTAGGGGTTCTTGTCATTTTCTCGTTGAAACTTAGGGAGAAGGAAACCTATAGTGGACGTAGGTTTGGTTTTGAGGGGTCTCGAGGGTTTGGTTAGAGCCTAGGCGTTGGGGCTTTGGTTTAGCGGTGTTGTCGGGGAAGTGGAGGTGGCAGCCGTGGTGGTTGCCATGGTTGAAGGCTATGCTTTGTCTAGGGTTTGAAGGATGAAAGGTGAGGTTGGGAGAAACCAGAGAAAGCGGCGAGGGGGGGAATTGTCTGGCTTAGGGGTTGAGAGAAGAAGTGAATTAGGTTAAATATTCACCCCATATATCCTATATATTTGTATGCCAAAACGGCGTCGTTCCAGAAGGTCAAAACGGCAGCGTGTTGTTGTCTGGGGGAGATGAACTGCGTTTTAGAAGTTGGGGTAATATCTATATAGGTCCTCGCAGCTTTGAACTGTATCGTCTTGATCCCTAAATCGAGCTTTGCTAGTATATTAATGTTGTCTCTTAATTTTCTCCGTGTTTCATTTCAGTCCAGTGTTGTGTTGGGGCTATTTTCTTACTGTTTTTACATTTGGTATGTAATTTTGGGAACTTGCATTTTGGTCCCATGTAACCACTTGGGTTATATTAGGTTTGAGGTGCCTAGAATGAATTTTTATGGAAAAGGCCTGCTGTTTATTTTCTTTACACTTTGGACCTATGGCATGTTCGTTTAGTTATTGTTAGATTTACATTTTTGCATTCCTATATTTATTTTATTTTATTTTGATCCTTCATGGTAATTTTGAATATGAAATCGAATTATTAATAGTATGTTTTATTGTATAATTCTAATGTATGTCAATGTCGTTGTATGCATGTATGTACCATATCACTATACTTTATTTTAGGCTTAAGTCCATTATATTTTGTTTTTTTTTAAGTCTTTGTTTTAATTCTTAATTAGTATGTTTAATTTTATATGTATTTGAATTTAGTCATTATATTTATGTATATATATATATATATATATACCTTTTTAATTTATAGTTTAGCATGCTATGATTTTGTTTTTATATTTTAGGTCACATGTGTACATAATATGTTAATATGCATGGTTTACACGATTCAATTTTTTTAATTTTTAGTTAAAATATGTGTATATGATTTTTTGTATGTCACGTTGTATGATATTTTTAATTTTGTTTATTCAATTTTGACATTTTTTTTACACGATTCGCATGGTAACCTCATTTGCATAACTCGACCTATTACATAATCGGACTAAGGGTAATACACTTTTAATTTAAAATTGTATTAAGTGGGCAATCATAACTGATTTGAGGTCCGCTTTTAATGATTTTAAAATAAAAATGTATCCCGAAAGTGAAACAAAAAAAATTGATTCGTCACTTAAAATTTGGGAATGAAAGAAAAAGAAATGTTCGTTTATTTAAATATATCGAGAAAAGGTTGTTATATCTTTAAGATCTGGTCTCGATATTTGTAAATAATCGAACATTCTTTATCTTTCTAAAATGACTTGGTAATTTTAATTTAATTTGTTTGAGTGTTTTTGAATGTTTTAAATTTACATTTTTATTTTATGGGATCAAAAATCAAAATAAACTCGAATTTGTAAAGTTCATTGCAAAGACGTTAATTAATCGACTAGGTACCGATTTAAGGCGTTGTGGGGGTGCTAATCCTTCCCCACACGTAACCGACTCCCGAACTCGGATTTTGGTAACGCAGACCTCAATTTGTTGTTTTAATTAAAGTTAATTTTTATTTAAAATGACAAAGCATTTTTGGGTGCCCAATCACACCCTAATCAAAGATTGGTGGCGACTCTTCGAACCGTATTTTTCGATCGTAAAGGAAATTCAAATTTTTTCGAAACGAGAGGTCTTTTAAATCGCATATGCTTTTAAAATAAAAAGAGACAATTAAGAATTAATGTGGTTTTTTAAAATCTCACTTTTTCACATTTAAGAAAAAAATCGTTTCGACAGCTTGGCGACTCCGCTGGGGACCTTTTTTTAGAGAGTCAAGCCGATAGTCGATTAATTAATTGTCTTTGCAATTGAAAATTACAAATTCGTTTTAATTTGGTTTTTGATCCCTTGTTTGGTGTTTAAATAAGTTTCGTTTGTATTTTGATTTCTTTAATTTAATTCGATTAACAATTAAATAGTTGTACTAATTTGTTTGCTAATGATTTCAGATTAATTGTGTGAATTTAGGAAATTTTGAGTGTTTTTATTGTTTGTTTTCTCGCTTTTCCTCACACACTGCACAGCTGCATTATCATAACATGAGCTAAAACCCCGCTCCGTCCTAATTAAGTAGGAGTGAGAGACTATGCCCTCGTGTGGTTTTCACCTTTGCATGGGATAGTGGATCGCTCCT